CCCCACCGTCCTCCCTGTACACACATATACAGAATCTTTAGTTTTGTGTATATGGTGTTGCACTGAATATCAAATAAAGTACCTCTAATATGGAAATCTGAGCTCTCGCTTTTATGAGCTGGTGAATCGGGGCAAATAAGCTAGGACCTCACTGAGCCCCAGTTTCTGCAAAGAGAACAGTGGGGCTAATATTTACATCAGAGGACTGCAGTGAGTCGTGAATGTGAAAAATGTGGGGGAAACAGTCACAGGAGTAAGTCTGTGTGGGTGCTGCTTTCTCTGTGCCACTTCATCAGGGTGCCTCCACGCGTGGCCTTGACTTTGGTGAGATAAAGTCTGAGTGGACTCCAGTGCCGCCTTGGCTGCGTACTCACCAGCAGGAATGAGAGTAAAGACGGTTGGCACAAGGGAAGACCCAGCCTTAGGCCAGGGCCTGGGAAGTCTGCAGGTGGCACAGCTTCCCCTGCCCTGCCCGTGCTGTCGTGTCAGAACAGCGCCCTCTTTTGGAGTTATTAGAAATCTTATTACTATGGGGATAAAATTGAATATTTTAAAATGGTTTGTCATTTGTGTCCTTTATGAGCTTTTTTCGAATGACTTATTTCCAAAACGTTTTTCAACTAGAAATTTTATAGTTTTAGTTTTTCCATTTAAGTATATGTCAAGATCAATTTCTAGTTAATTTTTATATATGGTGTGAGGTAAGGATATTTTTTTCCATTGGGATATCCAACTTTCAGGGCCATTTATTTTTTTCCCCATTAAGTTTATTGGTACACTTAAAGCAAACAGTACAGTTACATTCATCATTGGGATCTTGTACCTTTACATGATATATCTTGGTTCTTATTTTTTCACCATACCCCTGCCCTCTCTTCACCCCCTTCACCCTTCCCTATTTAAAAAGACTTTGTTTCCATTTTTTCCTTTTTTCACATTTTTTCTTTTCCCTTATTTCCTTTCCCCTCCCCTTCATACTTCCCCTTTAAGGGCCATTTATTTTGAAGACTTTTTTCCCTGAATCAGCTGCCTTGCTTGGCACCTTTGTCAAATGTCAATTGAACATGGTGGGGTTAATTTCTGTGCTCATTATACTGGTCTGATACTGTGTCCTTTGTCAATGCCACACTGTTTTGTTTACTGTAGCTTTAATAGTAAGTCTTGAAATCAGACAATATACATCCTTTAGCTTTGCTATTCTTTCCTAAAATAGCTTTAATAGTCTAGTTTACCTGCATTTCTGTATAAATTTTAGAATCATATATGAGGTGTGGTGGTATACACCTGTCATCCCAGCTACTTAGAGGCTGAGGCAGGAGGACCGTAAGTTACAGCCAGCCTGGACAGTTTAGTGAGACTCTGTCTCAAAATAAAAGATGAGCTCAGTGGTAGAGCACTTGCATAGCACACACAAGGCACTGAGTTCAAACCCTAGTACCAAAGGTGGTATTGTATCTGCGTGGGTGGAGTGGAGGGGATTGACTCATAGAAATGCTTGGCGAATTTTGTAAGGGATTATATCTGATCTGTATATTTATATGAGAACAGCTGACAGCTTAAAAAGTTTTGGAATGCAAGTCTTCTGTGTCTTTCTACAGCTTAACCTGAAATATTTCTTTTTGATGATTCTATCATAAACATTTTATGTCATTTTTCTAGTTGCTTGCTTCTAGTATATAAAAATACAGTTGATTTTTTAATGCTAAATCCACTTGTTACTTTAGGTAGTTGTTTTGTGTCTTGGCATTTTTAACCTAAACAATTATGTCATATTTGATTTCTGTTAATTCTAGTTGTTCTTCACAGGAATTCTATTTGATAAAACTTTTGATGGTTTTAAATATTGAGCTAATATCGTATATCTTTAAAATATTTTATGTCAGATATTTTGGAAATTCAAGTTAACCTCCCTCATGCTTTCAACCCTCTTAATTGTGTAAATTAGTGATATTTCAGAAAGGAATGGCAAAGAAAAGAGAGAGAGGGAGGGAAAAGAAGCCAAGAAGTGACTAAAAACCCTTGGTGTGTCAGAATGCAGTCCCACTGCTGCAGTCTTTGGTTTGGTTTGAGGATTTTTGTCAGCTGTATAATTATTTTTGTTATTGTATTTTGTTTGGCCGAGCTTAATAGTTTTTAGTTTTGAGCACTGTATTTTACTTTCTAGTCCAGGTCAGTGGAAAGTAGTTTTCTTTTGGTTTTTGTTTACGTGTTTGTATTTGTTTACTTGTTTGTATTTTTAAGAGCTTATACTAAATGCTTGGGATTTAGAACATGATGGTTCTGGTGATTGCATTGCACAATATTTGTGCCTGGGGGTTCGTTTCCTAGGAGACATCATCTTGAGCCCCAAGGCTTAGGTGAGATAAAGGGTATTCAGCCCAGTTCTGTTACTTCTGTGACTACCCTTTCAGTACCGAGGCCGGCAGCATGTTTGTTGCTCTGTTGCAGGACGAGAGACTTGGTGCAAGTTTATAGAGGCTTTTGTTTATGTTTTATTTGTGTTTTTGGACAAATAAAATTTTTTCAGAATGCTGTTTTTGAAACTCTCCCTTAGATACAGGGGAGCAATATGACATTAATACATGTTTTCAATTAAAATGCAGTTTGTATCAAGTTTACTTCTCATCTGACTTTGCTTGTGGAATATCAGGCTATGTATTTGGAGATGATAAAGGATATTCTCTCCCCTCTTCCCATTATACAGCTGTAATAAAGCAGGCAATAAAACACATTTCAAGTTGATACAATTCAAAAGGTTCGGCAGAAATGCCCTACTTCTTTTTATAAAAGGAAATTGATTATATTGCAATTGAATTATTCATGTTCTCAACAATACTTAAATTCCCCGTGTGGATTATTCCTGAATTTCTGTCTCCACCGTAGACCCCTCTCCAGAACTCCAGGCTGATATGTCCACCTGTCTTCAGTGGTTCCTCTTGGCTGTGTAATAGGCATCACTCACTTAGCAGATCCAAAATAAGTTAGAATTTTCCACAAAATCTGCTTCTCCTGGTGTCTCTGTCATCTTAGCAAATGACAACTCCATTCTTCCAGTTGCCTGGGCCAAAATCTGAAATTATTCTCGATTCACACTTTTCTCCTACACCCAACACACCCACCCATTGGCAAATCAAGTGGTTACCGACTTCATGATGCATAGCAAATCAATTCTCACCATCTCTAAAGCTACCACCCTGCACAAACTACTATCACGTAGAAAACCTATCCTTCTTCCCCAGCACTGCCTCACTGGACATGCTCTCATAGTGTGTGTGGGGGGCACCTTTCTGTGGCTGGGACAGAGTAGCTCATGTACACAACTTAAAGGAGAAAAGGTTTATTTTATATTAGTTTATGGTTTCAGAGGGTTCAGTCCATAGTTGGCTGGCTCCAAAGCAAAAACGTCAAGATGAAGGGCATGGGGGAGGAAAGCTGCTCGGTCCACTGCATCCAGGAAGTAGAGGGGGAGAGGAAAGGCCTGAGAGAAGATATACCTCTAAGACATGCCCCAGGGACCCATCTCCTCCAACAAAGTCCTCCTAATAGCACACCGAGCCACGAACTCATCCATGGCTTAATGTTCCAGGGATCCCCCACTGGATTCCCACCTCAAAACCCTGACAGTAGCCTCCAGGCTGCCTCTGACCTTGGCCGTGCTGATCCCTCTG